CACAGCTTTCTAAATCCATCACAAAACTCTTGCAACTGCGTCAGTCGCCTTAAAAAGAGGCTCATTTAACAAATAACGCCATGGAAATAACTCCTAAATTGATTCTATAATAGCCAGGCAAGACAAAAACAATCATTCTGGTGGTTTTAGACGAACCCAAGGAACTCTGGTATTTGGAAATGTCACTTGCGTCACTAGTTGTGGAGTTTTGACAGACTAAGACATTTTTCCGAAACCTTGCCAGAATTATTTTGTGTGAGTGCGTGTTCACTGCAAAAGAATAGAGCATGAACTTTGAGGACTTTATAACAAAATGACTTTCAGTTACACAAGCAACTGTGTTATTTGAGAAAAGAACATTCGAAAAAGTTTGATGTTGGTCAGTAAAAATAAGAGTAACAGGAGATGGTGGAGACCAAACCAGAGCTATGATCTTATGAACGGAAACATGACCCCTAATGATAACTTGTCTGTTGGATGTGTAAGGAATGGAATACATAATGATTAAGTGTTATGTTGGTTAGTAAAAATGGTGATGAACAGGAGAGGGTGGAGACCAAACCAGAGCTCAAAGGAGAGTTAATGGTGCACTCCTAATGATAACTTGTCTGCAGGATGTGTGAATAGTAAAGAGTGATGTGTCCAAACTATGGCATGGGGGACAACTGTGGCGTGAAATATACGATTCATCTTTCCCCTTTTACTATAAGCAATCTGAGGCTTTTGTTTTAAGGAATACGCTGCAACACCTTCTTGTAACACAATTATTAAAACCCTATGGAGAGCTGTGATACAGGCTGATAGCATATTCAAGCATAATTGACTACATTTGATTGATTTTGCTGACTTACAACTTGACTTATAATAATAATAATATATTTAATTTGTTAGCGCTTTTACAGGTGCTCAAAGACGCTTTACAGATATAGTGAAGAGAAAAGAAAGGAACAACAAATAAGTATATAGTTAAAGTTAAATAATACAAAAACAATCACACATTAAAAGGTTGAAGAGGTGAGTTTTTGTGAGTGTTTTGAAGGTGGGGGGGTCAGTGCAGTCTGATGGGTTGTGGGAGTGAGTTCCAGAGGGAGGGGGCAGCGACGGAGAAGGCTCGGTCCCCCCAGGTCCGGTGATTGGTGCGGGTGGGGATGGATAGGAGGTTGGCTTCTGATGAGCGGAGGCAGTGGGAAGGGGTGTGGTGGTGCAGCAGGTCTGTGAGGTAGGGGGGGGCCTGATTGTTGAGGGCTTTGTGAGTAATGAGGAGGACTTTGAAGTTGATTCTTTGACGTACGGGGAGCCAGTGGAGGTTCTGGAGGACTTATGAGGCAATGTACCCCACCTCTAGTGAGTTGCCTAGCCCTTAGTATGTTGTGTAAAAGGCTGTTATTACGCATTGGTCTTTATTTCCCCTCGCCTGTTACGTAAGATGTTCTCAGTTCCTGCCTAGCAGATTATTAGTTGTAAATGCTTACTGGTCTTTGGGGCCGATAGCAGACAAAGCAATGGAAACCAAACCAAAATGCACATGTAAAATGACCAAATGCCATGTCTGTTCTTAAAAAATAAAACCAATCAATCTCGCTCTGTTTTCGCTGTTAAGC